TGCTACATGCACACAATGGAATAGTATGCTACGTTAAAGAACAATGAGGGATATGCAAATCATCTCACAACATGGATGAGCCCGGAGGACATTATGCTGAGCGAAATAAGTCAATCACAGAAAGACCAGTACTGTATGAGCCCATTACTGTGAAAAGACAAAGAAGGGTTTACTTGGGAAAGGGAATTCACTTTGTAGGTTACCGGGGTGGGGAGGGATGGGGAGGGATTAATTTTGGACTAGTTGGGGCCCACATGCTGACGTGGGTAAGGGGGAGGATATATGGGAAGGATCTGTGACCACCATGATAACATTAGGAAATGGGAGGACATCAAATTATGCACATAAGAAATAGACGACAGATGCTAATACTAACCAATATGTCCACAATACTGTATTACCATTAACACCAAACACCAGGCTACAGATAAACACATAAACATCTGAAAGGATCAGATGGGGGTCAGTGAACAGGAGTATACTCTAGACCCAAGGATAGATTCAGTGCAGGCTAATCTTGCACAGACACCAGTGATACAAAATACTTGCAGTCCTTACAGAAACAATAGAAGTCAGACACAGAGTAATCCCTCACAGACACCCAGACACTATGGGAGAGAGATCCAATAGATCTACCATCTCAGGACCATAGTACTGGGGGACACCAGACTCAACTGGCACAATAAAATACATAAAAGCATTGCTCCACATCGTACATTGGTGAATAGCGACTGGGGTCTTAAAAGCTTTCAAGCAGCCATCTAAAATGTAGCTAATGGTCTCCTAGCATCGGAAGCGAAGAAGAGTACAAAAAAACAAGGGCATTTTGGAAGCAATCAGCCCTAGGACACGATGGGCCTCAAGACCAGAAAAACTAAATGGTGCCTGGCTACCAATGCCAACCACCCAGGAAAGTGTTGAATCTGGAGATCCTGGATAGAGTGGGAGGAAAAATGTGGAACAAAATCCAAAAGCTCAATAATGACCAGAATTACTGGTCAGATGGAGTGTGATGAGAACCTCAATACTATGGCCCTGGAATACTTTCTGCGCCTGGAAAAAAAACTCCCAGGGGCTGGCTCTCAGCCCAATAGTTAACAAGATGTACATGCAGACCACTCAACCCAGGATGATGCACCCACATACTCTATGGTAATACATCCTTTGGAGCAGTGGAGCACAGGACACTAGAGGGGCAACATTTACACTGAGGAAATGCAGGACAAACAGATGTGCATAACTATGAGGGGCACAGGGGGAGGGTTACTGGACAGGGAGGGGAGGAAACTGGGTTAGGGTTGGGCATGGTAATTGGGGAGTAAAACTAAATGTACATGTAACATTGAATGTAAAAGTCTTAAAATAAGAAATAAAAAAAAATGAGCTGTAAAAAACTAAATTATTACCTTATGATTTTATTTAATAATTTTATATTTAAAAAATAGACAACAATTTCAAGAATATCCTGAACATTGGAGTTTTCTCTTACTGAAGGCTGTGTGTTTTGTTCAGTTATACACCACTAGATACTGAGCATAGTGTGTGCCTAGGAGTATAGGTTGTGTACACTTTTCTTGAATAAATACATGAATTAAAAGTTCTGGGACCAGGATACCTTACATGGCATCAGGGGTGAATTAATTTCATATTTCTGGAAGTGAGAATGGCCAGACTTTGTCTCATCTACTTTGGTAATGTGGTAAGAAGGGAGAAGAATATCATGCTTGATAAAATAGAGGGTCAGCAAAAAAGTGGAAGACCTTCAACAAGATGGATTGACACAGTGGTTGCGATGATAGGCTCAGATATGGTAATGATTGTGAGCATGGCACATATTGGGCAGTGTCTTATTCTGTTGTACATAATAGGGTCACTGTGAGTCGGAGTCAACTTGACAACCCCTAACAACAACAGTTGGAGCATCTGTCACATTTTATTACAGATATTTCTCTCTCCTTTGATGCCAGCTCCCTCTCATTTACTTTATTATTCTTTACAGTGTTTGATACAGAGTAGATTTCCAGAAAATCTGTTGACAGAATAACAAATGTATACAATTACCTTGACTACTCTCAATTTATATGCCTAACCCTCACTTAGGAGCTCTGATAGCATAGTGCCTAAGGCACTTGACTGCTCACCAGAAGGCTGGCGGTTCAAACCCACCAGCCACTCCTCAGAAGGAAGGTTGGGCAATCCTACTTCCGTAGTGATACTGCCTCGGAAACCCAAGGAGGGGTCGCTATGAGTCAGGGCTGACTCAACGGCAAACAACAACAACAATAACAACAACCCTCACTTATCAGCATGGTTATATTCCAGAGACCAGTTCGTTATGCAAAAGTGGAGAATGATCATGTCCCCTCACTTCTTCACCTGTACTGTGAACGTCCCACCAGACCCCTGCTGAGGTCACTTGCCACCACCACTTCCCCCTCCCTCTCATACTGTCTCAGGAAGGCTTGACACCCACCACTATCTGCAGAGGAGGACTACCTAGTCTTCCAGAACCAGGGTGACCCGAGAGCTGCACCCTCTTCAGCTCCAGGGCTCCCACCCTCTCCTTCCCTCACCTTAGTTTTCAAAATGGTTGGCCCTAGCTCATCCCCTCAATGACCCCAAAATACCTCTGGTGTCTTTGTCAGGGGCAAGAAGCTCCCTATATGTGGGCAGGAGGGCCTGTGTTCCGCAGGTGGGGGTTCATGCTTCCTGCTGGTACTCCCCACCAGCCTCTCACCCAACATCCCCCTGCTCTCATTGGGCAGCCCCGCCCCCTCTACACCTATGTCCCCATGAGAATTGACAATCTAGAGCTTCCTCCAAAGCCATGACAACTAGGCCTGACCTCTGTCCTTGACTTTAAACTATAGGAGCTTCTGGTCATTGATTCACTGACCCCACCCCTGCCCAAGTACCCTACCTTTCCCTCATCTGTGCCTTTCCAGGAGGGAACATTGATGAAGTGTAAGGAGCTGTACAGGTGCTAGTCAGCTGTCTGGGGTCCCATGGGACACCCAAGTACCCCATCTCAGGGCTCCTCCTGGCCATTGCCCAGCCTGTCCCTGCCACTCTTCAGGGCTTAGAGTTGGGGCCAGATCCTGGAATTCTTCTTCCTCTCCAGTCCTGAAGGCATCCCACCTCCAGGACACTGGCTGCTGCTGCCCTGGCCTCAGCCCCCAGGACGCATGGACAGCATCTTGTCTCTGCTATCCTCACTCCAGCCTCCTCTTTATTCCACCCAGCACCTCAGCAGCTCAGGGAGACCACTCCCTCTCTCTCTTCCAGGAGGTGAAATACTATGCAGTACTATGTATTTCGGATCTTTCTTTCTATGTGCACACAGGGTCCACTGGTCAGGGACCCCATCAGGGACCTCAGCGTTTGTTACTGCCTGATGTGCATCATTAATGCAAAAATAGTCAGATAGTAGATTTTTTACTACTGTCGTAAATACAAAAATGTGGGATAACAAGATGGTAATTAGGTGAGAAGTACATGTGTATTATTTAAGTGTACTATACTGATCACACATCTCGTAACTAGAACATCAATTCAGTGACAGCACATTTGAGACACTTTGCATAAAAAACATTAAATTGAAGTTGCCTGCAGTTTAAGAGTTTGAGTTAAATAAGCCTGCAGACAAAATTTGAATCTTTCCTCAAAGTTTCCTTGGAGCTGGTAGTAAGCCTTAAAATACAATAAGAAATGGAAATATTTAAAGAGAATTTTGTTGAGTGTGAAAAAGTAGAAGTCTTCTAAAAATCTGAGAGATTAGGTTTTGTGCATATATAGTGTTGGTTTTATATATCATAACAGAATAATTCTAGAGTAATTGAGTTTCAAAGTATACAGTGACTTATTTAGGGCTGAGAATTTGTAATAGATACCTCTGGTGCCCGCATATCACGTTTTCTTGGCCCTCAGCTGTGGTGGCCTGTTCAGTGTGGGCTCACTCAGCCCTGATGCCGTCCCACTTTAAATGTGTGCTCTCTCTTTTCTATTTTCTGCCTTTTTCTTGTTCTACTGGTACCACTAGAGATGTCAACTTTATTCAGTTCCTAAGAGCAGACTAGAAGTGCAGGTGCTAACAATCCTCAGTTCACAGAGGGTGGGAACTGCTAGGTAGGTGCCCCAGTCTCCCATCCCTTAGGTGGACAGTTCTGGGAAGCATTTTGTATATTCTTCTTTACCCATAGCAGTAAGTCGCAAGAATGCTTTTTCTCCTTTCTTACTCATCTTCACCCCTCACTTCTTTTCCTGGGATTCTCTCCCAAATAAACTACTTGTATCCAGGACCTTCCTTGTCTTAGACTGTGCCTTCTGTAGAATCTAAACTTAAGAAGTCTTCTAGAAAGGAAGTTTGTATAAATGTGTTACACCTAGCTTTTCCCAGTGTATATAATCATAGAAATTTTATTGAAATCACTCTGTCACCCTATCAATAACCATAATTTTGAAAATGCTAATAAAATCTATTTTTTATAGATAAGAAAACAGGCATAGAGAAACTGAGTCTTCTTTCAACAGCTCGTTGTTAATGACATATTGTAGAGCCAGAGCAAATCCCAAGTTTTTTTAATTCTCCGTATTTGATTATTCAAAAAGAAAAAAAAAAAACACCTCTGCCAGCGAGTTGATTCTGATGCTATGGACTGTGTGGGACAGAGTAGACCAGCCCCATAGAGTTTGCAAAGTTGTAAATCTTTATGGAAGCAGACTGCCACATCTTTCTTTTGCAAGGTAGCCGGTGGATTCAAACCACCAACCTTTTGGTTCACAGTTGAGAGCTATACCCACTGTGCCATCAGGGCTCACCATTGATTAATAAATCATATAAATTAAAATTATGTAAAAAGAACTTATAAAATAAGAACAGTAGAAATTAAGTGTTTAGTTTAACTTCATGATTTTGTTTATACTCATTAAATTCTGCTGAAACTTATAAGAGCCTGACATGTTTTGAAGTAAAGTTAATTTACTTTTTTCTTTGTTTCTAGTGGGAGATTTTGATAAGATCTGGCGAGAACACTGTGAGGACGAGGAAACGCTTTGTGAATATGCTGTTGCAATGAAAAATTTGGCAGATAATCATTGGGCAAAAACTTGTGAGGGTGAAGGTCGTATTGAATGGTGTTGTAGGTGAGTGTTATTATGAACTTGGTATAATGAACTAACATTTTTGGTTTCTAATGTACCCTTTTTTTTTTTCTAATGTACTCTTTAAATTCTTAAATATAAGTGATGCTTGTGTATTTTATAAATTATTTTCTCAAGATGGAAAACTAGAAATATTTTTAAAGAGGTAATAACTTTTACACTTTCCTTTTCCTCACTTTCCCTAGGTTTATTTCATTTGTGTTCTTTTAAATCAAATTGTTTTCCTTTGACATAGCTTTTAATTTTCTGTTTTATCTTTTAAAAAATATTACTTTAAATACAGGTAAACGTTAGTACATTTAAAATATAAAAGATTTAATATGTAATTCATCATTAATAAGTCATAATACAGAAATCTCTTTTCATAATTATCTATATTTATTTAAGTAAAAGTTAATATTTTTCTGTAATTTATTTGGAAGCATCTTAGAAGTTTTTAAATCCTGAACTTCTGATGTGTGATTCAGGGTATTCTAGCATTGGAATTGACTTTGTATTGACTTTGGATGATGTTTATTTTCTCATAATGTAGACTCTAATATTAAAAACATCAGAAAACAAAATACTGATGATCAATTTTCTTAAAATGGTTAGAGTATAAAAGTCACTATGAATATAGACTTATTAAAAATTAATTACCAGAAAACAAAGCTTTATCTTTCTGCATGGCAAATCAGTTTATAATAACTCCTGGTTTATATTTCATTTTAATTCTTTTTTTTTTTAAATTTCTATTTTAATCTCATTTTAAAATTATATAATGATGCATATTTCATCCTTACAAGAAATAATATAGAGAAAAAGATGTTTTTAACTTAGTTCTTTTATTTATTTATTCCATAGATTTTTTTAGTAATTGTCTACTGTGTACCAGGCACTATCATAGACACTGGGAGTACCATAGTAAACCAAATACAGAAAATTCCTGCTCTCAGAGTGAGAGTGCCATGCCAGTGGGAGTGAGGGGCAAACGATAATACATGAATTCAATATATACCAGGTAAGATAATTGGAAGTGCAGTGAGAAAAAGAAAGCAATGAAAAATGAGAAAAATAGAAAAAGAATGTGCATAGAAGGGTATACACTGAAGTGACATGTGCAAAAGGCATGAAAGAAGGAACAGAATAATTCCCAGGTGCAAGGCAAGAGTATGCTAGCATTTTTCAGAAACAGCAAGGAAACCATTTTGGCTGAAGCAGAATAAGAGGCAGAAGGTAGTAGGAAATGAGATTATGAACAGCTAGATTTTGTAGGATTTTACAAGTCCTTGTAAAGACACTGGCTTTTTTTTTCTAAGTGATATGGAGAATCATTAGAAGTTTTGAGAAGAGATATGATCAGATTTTGTTAACCAGTTAAAATATATTAACAATTTTAAAGAATTAACTCATGTTAAGAATAGACTACAGGAAGGGAAAGGTTATAAGTAAGGAAACCAGTTAGGAAACTACTGCCTTTTCAAGGCACAGTTATATGAAATAGCTTTTTTGGAGATTCAGAGAGAATGAACAGGACAGTGTAACAGAATTTTTACTCAAGTGAATATAATGATTTAAGGGAAGGGCGAGGGAATGAAAATGTACACAGTGTAGTGATTATAATGATATGTAAGAAGAGAGTTGAAAACATCAGGTCAGTGAGAAGCAGTGAAAAGATAATAGCTTCAATGGATTGTGGGATCAAAGAACTGTGGAGTTGGGACACTACATGAAAGAGCCAGAATGATAGGAAATGAGATGCTTGGCATGAAAATGTGTTATTTGCTTGGTTCTAGAGAGAAAATATCTATAAATCTGATTGTTCTACAGAGTATATGTTTTCCCTTAAAGCTAAGAAACACAACTATTTCCCTTATAACAGAAGGTAATAATATAATCCAGTCAAGATCCCAGTATCGTTCTTGGCTTTTAGCAGCACTGCTTTTAAATTAGTATTTCAATATAGCAGACAAGCCTTCAAACTGTATTTTTCAATGGACCTTAATATATTGTAGTCTTACGGGAGCATTTGCTGCATGTCATCTTGGAAAAAATGAATCTGTCTTGCACTTCACTTTTCTGTTACACTGAAGGACTTAGTTCTGAATAACAATACATTTGCTTTATCCTTAACTTTACAAAAAATAATTTCAAAATTACATTACTGCTCTTACTTCTAATCATAAAATAATGGAATGAAGTTTAAGATTTCTTTGCAGTTCTTTTGTCTTTAGAACATATACCACCAAATGTCAAAGTACTGTATTCAGAAGTTACTTAAAATAGTTCTTTTTGGTGTGGTTATGTTACCAACTTACAGTACAAATGGTTTTAGTTTAATTTTCTGTTTTTCTTCCTATTTTAATTTTGGGGTTGCAGTGTAGTAAATTGGGAGTTCTGGTAGCATAGTGGCTAAGGCACTTGACTGCTAACCAGAAGGCTGGCGGTTCAAACCCACCAGCCACTCCTCGGAAGGAAGGTTGGGCAATCCTACTTCCGTAGGATACTGCCTCGGAAATCCAAGGAGGGGTCACTATGAGTCAGGTGTGACTCAACGGTACACAACAACAACAACAGTGTAGTAAATTACTTTGTGTGGCTTTTCTACCCATAAGTCTTTGTAAACTCCAAGTTGGGATTTGCTATGAGCAACTGAGGAGCTCCTGATTGCTGAAGTTGTCCACCTGGAGTATTTCTGTTGGGAGTGGCACAATACAATGTTCTGGGAGGTGCCCACTCTCTCTCAGGTGCTTAGAGTTCTGATGCTATGATTGGCTAATTTGACCACCCTGCCGGGCTCAAAAGGAGGCCTCCTAGAGGCAGAACTCTCTCTGACTGCTGGTGGAGGAAGACGTGCTGCCGAAAGAGACACGCGTTCCTGAAGGAGACACGTGCTGTTGGGAAAGAGATGCAAGAGACACGCATCGCTGAGTGAGACACCAAGGGACCAGCACTGCTGGGAAAGAGACTGTGAGAGACTGTTGGCTGAGGGACGGTGGGCTGGGGGAGAGACTGAGCGTTTTCCCTGAGCTTGAATTGTAGCCTGGTGCTTCCATAATAAACTCCATAATCTGTGAGTTCTGTGTGGCCACTGCAGCGAATTATCGAACCCAGGAGAGAGTTGGTGGTGCTTTGGGAGGAACGGTTGGTGAAAGGGCTGGAGGGAGGCAGCATGTCTGGCCTTGCAGTAATAGGCCTTGGGTTACTGCTGGTAACTCTGTCTTCCTCTTGTGGGATTAGAGGAGGTCAGAACATGTGGCCTCTCTGCCGTTTTTGCAGGGGTAAATAAAACATTTACATGGTCCAAAAGTCAAAACTTAACAAAAAGATATAATCAGAAAAGAGTCCCTTCCATTTTCTATGTTTACCCCCTGTCCCTTGAAGGTAATCATTTTTATTTATTTACTGTTTATCCTACTAGTGTTTCTTTTTGCAAAAATAAGCAAATTCATATATAGAGAGACACAGATATGTTTATATTTGTATGTGTATATCTATCCTTTTTTATCCATACAGGTGATAGTATATTATATACTCTGTTTTGTACCTTTCTTTTTTACTTAAAAATATATCCTAGAAATCACTCCATTTGGTATACAATTATCTTCCTCATTGCCATGAGTTATTTATAAACTTTTGCTGTTATGAATAATTATGTAATGAATAACCTTGTGCATATTCCTTTTGTATTTTTGCCGTTGTATCTTTGTCAACTCCTAGAAGTAAAATCGCAAGGTAGAAGACTAAATGCTGTCAAAAAGTAAACTGAAGTTTCTGTTGAAATTAAAACAAAAAGTTTTATTGAAGGAATAGTATGATCTAATTCGGGCAGCACTTTATGAGGATTCACAAAAGTGCTCTGATGAGAGCAAATTTTCTTAGAGTTTAAGTACAGAAAATCCAAGAAACTACCAGGAAATAATTGTGATTGGTTGATGTTTTCAAAATCATGCTTTAATAGACAGTAGACAGTTCTGAGATGCTGTCAGTGATGTTTTATTAATTGTGAAGTTTGAGTCAATTAAAATCTTGTTAATCTATGGATATTTTGAGGGCCAGCCTGAGTGAAGATCCTTCCTGGGAGCTGCTGTGAGAGGAATGGGGAAGAAGGGAGCCCGCAGGCTTGCTGAGGTATACTGGCTAGCCTACTTTTGAAAGTCAGTTTGGAATAAGCAGTAAACAGCAAAATGGAGTTCAGCCTGCATCTTTGACAGAAGCGTCTCCTTAAGCCCAGCCCCTAGTTCTTTTGAGCTCCTTCACAATCCCTGCTTCTGATAAAGAATTAATATAGAAATTTACTGATCACTATTTTAAGAGTATCTCTTCTGAATGGACTTATTTTTCTTGTGTTTGTTATATTAGATGGCTGCCTATGTAAAGTAGGCTGTTCAGATCCCAGACATATAATTGGCATCATCAGTTCATTGCTGGCCACTTACTTGATAAGCTTTTCAGACCCTAGTTGCTATTATGCAAATAGCTGGGCACCACCACTGCTATCTTCAGATGCTATAGCCTCACATGACTTCTGCTTCCGTGATCTTCTAAGAGGGGGTATGTAAGACTGGGGTCAAATTAATAGAAATAATTGGGAGAGAGGCATCAGCCAAGGTGAAGGGCCAGGCTTTTCTCTAGGGAATTGTCATCTCATAAGAAATCCATGATCTTTTGTATAGGAAATAGTGTTGCTTTTTGAGTACAAGCATTGAAAACAAGGGTAATACCAACAAAGTGTAGTACAGCAATCAATAGAAGATGGCTCAGAATACAAAGCAAATCACAACAAGACTGTCAATAGTCAACATAAAAAGGTCTTACATAGTCAATAAACTTAAACTGGCAGATTAAAGCAATCTCAAAAACAAATTCCTATAATCTTAAGAGCTTGTATGTAGCCTTGTTCCGTAATTTTGGGAAGAGTTGTCTTCTTCTGTGGTCTGTTTCTTGTCACCACAGCATATGAGCTTCAGTTTACATCCTCTGTTGGACAGTCCAGTAATGCT